CTGCTTATAAACTCTAACGCTAAGTTCTTAATTCAAGTGAATTATCAACTTTAGTTTACGATACGTTTAGTATTAAATTATTATAATAGAATACACACAGCACGATGAAGATACTCGTACATAATTTACTTATACGTTATTTACACCACATTATTATGTTATCCTCTGCTATCCCTGCGTGTTAGACAAAGATCACCCTATTACACAAGGCTTGTTAACAAACAACGCGGCGAGAAACATCTGTGCCAACATTTGAACTGTTGCCAACAGCTGTAGCCTGTTTCTGCCAGTAATCACGAGTTCATTTTTCCCAATCTATGATGAGTTAGCACTACATTTGTATGAAAAACTCGAAGATGGAGTTTTCGTGAGATGGAACATAGAAAAGTTTTTTGTATACATATATTGTGTAGTATTATTGTACAGATTATCAGTGTTCGTGTACATTTATTCTTGTAAGTCTTTACTCATTTATTTATTTACAAATTTAATCTTTATTAAATTTGTAAATAATTTATAGTTCTAAATAAAGTTAACTCACAACAAATTCGCCCAACGAATGAATGGAACAAAGATCCCATAAATCTGCAGAACCTTAGGACAAATTTATGCCCCAATAGGTAGGTAGTAGTAGAAAATTGTGAATTCAGGTAGAAATCATCCTATCCTGTTTTACGGGAAAGAAGGCAATGTGAATTGGGTTTCCTATTTCTTTATATTTTAGCCGTGGCTTTATCTTGCGTTTTCATGTACTCTATATTATATATTATATTTATAGTGAAGATATCACTAATACAGAACACATTTTGATTTTTTAACTGTAAAATAACACGTCGATATAATGGATTATATTGAGTTTTCATGATTATTAAAATATGTTTGTTACATTTTAATGGAATAAATTATACAGGAGTTATGTACAATTTACGGCACACACCTCGTAATAAAATAAAGATGATGTTTATCACTACATATAAAATTTTGTCTAATGAAACCTTAAATAAAAAATAACAGATATTAAAATAATAAATCAACTTATCTTAATAATATTATAAACACGAAAGTTTGTGAGTATGGATGTTTGTTACTGTTTCAAGCAAAAACTACTTAACGGATTTTGAATAAACTTTACAGTAATATAGCTTATACATCAGAATAACATACAGGCTAGTAGTTATAAATAAAATAAAGGAAACAAAATATTTATAGCTACTGAGAAAATAACCAGTTTTAGTTGTTGCAGCCACAGTGAAACTTCATCATTGCTCTACAGTATAAAAGGACATTTAATTTTAAAAACAAATTCAATTAAAAAAATATTTTTAAGAAAAACTCATTAATTAAATTACGACGGACATTAGGGGTAAATCCTTAATTATCTTTAATATATTGATAACTGATGAATCATCCTTTTTTTAGAATATTGTATTTTTTCAGAGAAACAACATAGTCATTTTAAGTAAAATGTGAATGAAATGATTTATAAATTAACTTTATATATAAATCTTTTTTTGTACACCAGTAATTAATACAGCTCTATGAATATAGTTATTACCTATTTATTACCAAAAGTATTTCTTCAATAAATAGCATCAATACTTACTGACCAAAAAGGTTTGGTACTACTGAAAGAATATTCAGTTTCAATTAATTATTTTCAGAGACTATCTATATACTACGTAGTATATATATTACATAAAGAAATTAAATTTTACCTTTTATATACCAATTTATTTCAAATTTAACAGGAACCGAAACAAAGAACCCGTATGGGGCACGGTTCCAAAAAGTGTGTTCATTGCACAGCGAGGCTGTGTAATCAGTGGGCAATTGTCTTTCATCTCACGACACCAAACTAAATTAGTGGCAATGAACCAGCAGTGGACGTAAAGTTCTCTGGAATGGCAATAGCCGATTGAAACAATTGGAGTACCGCCAAAATCTACCAAGAACTTTTACCCAACACTAATTGGATTTGTAGTCAGTATAAAGTTTTATTGAATGCTACTAAAATTGTAAGAATTTCTGGATGTAGTCTATATTAGCGGTTTAGCACTAGTTGCAAGTTAGATTACCACATAAAGCATTTTTTTTTATGTAACAGTTAATACTCCGTCTTTTTCTGTCCAGTATTTACAAAAAATGTACCCAAGTATGAATATATATATATATAAATTGCCATCTACTAATTTAATAATTTCTGAATTTAGGAGTCTACGATGTTTTATGGAGTAAGCTTAAGAATACTACTCTACCCGTAGAATTAGTGGGGATTCTTAAGTATTGGTACAATAACCATAATGCAACCAGGTGAAGTGGAATAATTCTCTGTCTGACCTATACCATTTAATATAAGTATGAAATTGTAAGAATTTCTGGATGTAGTCTATATTAGCGGTTTAGCACTAGTTGCAAGTTAGATTACCACATAAAGCATTTTTTTTTATATATATATATATGAATATATATATATATAAATTGCCATCTACTAATTTAATAATTTCTGAATTTAGGAGTCTACGATGTTTTATGGAGTAAGCTTAAGAATACTACTCTACCCGTAGAATTAGTGGGGATTCTTAAGTATTGGTACAATAACCATAATGCAACCAGGTGAAGTGGAATAATTCTCTGTCTGACCTATACCATTTAATATAAGTATGATGTTGTATAAAATCTCTAGAAGTATGCATATATATAGTAAAATACATATTTGAAAAGAAAAGGTTTTATTTTTATTTCGAGATACAGAAATATGTCAATTTATTGTCCTATTTATGTATAATTTACGATTTAGTTCTACAAACAATAAAACTTTAATTCTAACTAATTTAGTATGAGTCTAATATAAAAGAGTAACCCATCGACATAAAACAGATCCCAATTATAAACATCCTTTCAAAGTCGGATGATAATGTTTGTTAATCTTCCACCGTAATCTGGAGACGTCGTCGTTACTAACTACGAGTACCATTTAGGATTATATCCTTGCCACAAAAACGAACTATCGTTTCATTGAACACTTTATCGAAAACCGATACGGGACGGTACATCGCCAACTGAGGTTCTTGCTCTCATAGAAATCAAAATATCAATAAGATGGGATTGTTTGTTCAATATTAAGCAGTGAATTTTACCGAGCGTATTGCCTTTAGACTTTAAAGACCCATTGTTTTATTTTTTAATACACTGACATAATAATATTATCCCAAAAGATAGTGAGTTCGAATTTGGTTGGCATAAAAAATATAGTTCTATTTTTTGCAGCGAAAGAAACACAGATAACAAATATATCAAAAAGAATGAGGTAGATTTGCTTACTGCTATACTGAATTAAAAATATTTTCGGATATGGGTACGGTAAAGACTCAAAATTACTTTATGGATATTAAACAATTTAAATTATAACAAGATTTACATATTAAAATAAGTTATATTTATAGAATTCTATTCAAAATCTTATCTAATCTAATTTACATAGGAAACAACTTAAATAACGGTTTAGTACTAACAGAGATAATATTTGATACCTTCAAATAATATGTTTGTTTTATTGAACGTTGACATTACTTTTATTATTGCTTTTTCCCAGTGATTACTCATATTTTTGGTGGGTATTTTCTTGTAAATGTGTCTTTACATTTACTTAATAGAAAAGTATGTCTACATTACATTACAAATATTAATATGTGTTAATACCTTTGTGTTACATGTTTCTCCACCAAGTAATTGTTTTGCAAGATTCAGAATGAGAAATTACAGTGAAATTACAGGCTACTGTAACATGACACCGCTCAAGAATAAAGGGCACCATCAGTATTTTCATATACTTGGTATTTTTTATGTTTATTGGCAACTGTTACTACTTTCCATCCGGTGAAACATTAACTATCATCTATACCTGTTATAACATATAAAAAAGAACTATTGTTAAACTGACTTTATATGTTATACGACATAAACTAAATTTTCGTGGACATAAGAACACAGCTTTGTTTGTTCTCCGGACGTTTTAGTAAATGTTGTCAAAGGCATTCCTCGTCCGTAAACTAGTCACGTATATCCTTATTGGCATTTCTCATTTAGTTACTTAATAAGGACCATGCTTGGCATTCACTGAGTCTGAACTATTTTAAATTAACATTATATGTGTAACATTCTATAAACGATACAAGAAAAAATCTTTAATTACATATAAAAGACACTCTACTGCAAGAAAATTATATTAATTATTACATACATATTAAATTTAACACCGTTTCAAATCTTCGGAATTCTAGATTTTTTTACGTTTAATACATACAATAAACAGGTAGTGACTTTTACAAAGTCGTAAGTCTATAACATAGAATTTAAGCTGGAAAAATCTGTATAAAATTTTATTGGACTATTCTTATTTAGGTGTCTTTTCACAAAATTGTTACCAGATTATTTTACCTTGAGCTATTACAGTAATAATGCCGATCACACTTGACTGTATTCTTTATCTACTATACTGTGACATAGTATTGTTTACCACTATTTTACTTGAAAAAAGTTTTCATCTTATCCACGATCCTATGTTAAAATTAAGCGAAGCGGTGGTGAAACTCGGCATTCATTTCCTTTCGTTTGATTCCATTCCCTTTCCAGCCGTGTGACGCCTTCCACCTCTGAGAAGTTATAACTCACGTGGAATCGAATATGAATCGCTTAGCTGCCTCACAATACAACAGGTTAACTTTTAAGAATTTGTCAGCAGTACTCATTGCTATTTTTATATAACTTTTTTGTCTTTGATTTTCTGTACTATATGTAAAATAATATTTTTGTGAAATTATCATATTAAAGTTAACTTGGTCTATTGAGGTATATCCTATTCCAGTCTCCCAATTACCGGCACTGGTGTGTACATAAATCGTATTATGTACAAACCAGTGGTATTACCAATTACAATCAAACTTAACCATATTTTCTATATTTCAGTAAAGTGATAAGTGTAAATCAAATTATATTTTTGATGTTAAATTATCAATTTCATTCCGTCGAAGTACAAAGTATACATAGTAAAGTGACGAAATTTTAAATAGATATAAATAAAGTGAACTCAACAAATGATAATGTGGTGAAAGAAACAGTGATAAAATGGTTTTAGTAAGAACTTTAAATACAGGACCGTTTCGTGTGAGAAGTGTGAAACATAAAACGATATGGGATGACTCATAGTGAAAAATATTATGTGCAACCCACAATCCGATCAGAAGATGATGCGAGAAATTCACGACAATGCTGGGGCAGGCGCAAGCGGCGCGATGGAGGAAAGCGAGGGCGGAGGGAGTGGGGCTGCAGAGGTCGATATGGACGAGTGCAGTTCCCTCGCGTTGCCTCCTGACCTGCCCCCCTATTCCGGCGACTACATCATCAGCGATTACATGGAACGCCTGGGTACACGACTTAACATTCTTGAAACCGAGCTGAAATATGCTTGGCGGGCGCTCGATCTTCTAAGTCAGGAGTATGTTAGAATGTGGGAAAGACTAGAACGCTTGGAGGCACTGCTTGCAGATCAACAGGGTGTTATATCAACATTACTAGACTTTTATACATGTCGAACTGTTACATCTAGAGATCCAATGACTCGCCTTGAAGTAATCAGAGAAATATTAGGCAATGGTACTGTTGAGGATGGTATCGAAGAAGGTTTGGATATAGGACGAAGTTCTGTTCTGATTGATCCACAGGAAGAAATAATGGAGTCAAATGAAGCATTTTATAAGAGTTTAAATCAAGCTTATAGGGATGATCTAGTTTGTGATGAAACCTCAAGACCACCATCTCAACTAGATATGATTTGGGAAGCTCCAGAAGAAACTGATATCGAAATTGTACCTTCTAATTCGAGACAAATATACAGTGCAACTGATTATAAAGATTATTGTGGTATGCAAGGAGGTCCTGGCATTAGCGAAAGAGATTTAGTACATTTGTCTACATTAAGTACAATAGATCAAATTACTGTAGATAAATTACATGAATTAGATAGGTTGACAACACAATTACACAAAGATTCGAGAGAGCTAAAAGACTTGAAAACCAGACTTCTTAGTCCAGAAACAAAAATTGCATCAAAACATGACAGAGATATAGAAGCAAAAACTCTTGTAGAAGACGGAAATATTATTAACGAACAATTAAAAAGTGTTTATTCCGGGGGAGAAAACTGGGGTATAAATGATATGATGAAAAGTTTTGACGATTTTATGTTGACAATGCCAAAAGATTCTGTTGTTAGAGATAAATCTCCATCTAGATTATCTCTAACAGAAAATACAGCAACAGAAAGAACAATGGACTATTTACCACCAACTCTATCCCCTCGTCGAAAATTCGTTCCAGAAAGAACAACCACAGAACCATATACTACAGTCACAGGTCGTTTAGCATATAGTTCAGCAGTGGCAAATGCTGAAATCAATGCAGCTAAAGCTTCTAAATCTCCGAGTGCAATTTCCAGAGATCGATTTGAATACAGTTCAACTTATCAGGTTGCAGATAGTAGACAAAGCTATTACAGCAATAAAAGTATGTCACAACAATTAAATGATATTTATAAAACAGATGCCGAGCAACTCTCTCCTTTGTCCGTTCATGAAATTTATAATGGATCTACCAGCAACAGTCGACTCGAAATTAACTATGAGGAAAATAGATTACATAAATCTCCTAGTCCTCCGCCACCAGCGCCGCCTAATGGAGATGAAAAATTTTCCGTCGAAAATAACAGCGAAACAATAACTAGTCATCACTCTATGCTTTCAACTGTTCCAGCTGATAATATTCGTTTAAGTCCGAGATCGCCCAAATCACCAAAATCCTCACCTAAACATATTAAAAGAGATACTACTAACATTGTGGCTGCTAAATCTGATTCAGGGTTATCATCAATGAGTGGATGGTCGAGTCTTGAAAAAAGTCCTGGATCACCAAAAATGGGACGAATTACTCATGGAAGTCACGATTCTCATAAGATAAGAAACTCCTCTCCACAATCAATACAAAGATTGTCCTATGAAATTGACTCTAAACCATATTTAGAAACCCTAGTGGACTCATACGTTTACGACGGAAAAAATGTAAAAAATGACTATAGTTTACGTAAAATGGATTTACCCAAAGATGTGTGTAGTTCCAGAGACTTGAGCATTTTGCAGGAAAAAATTGATAGTGCTTTTTTAAAAAATGATATACCGTATTCCATTTCTGGTCAAAGTACACAAGTCAGTAATATGAGTGAGTATTATTATGGAAATGAAGCACCATCAATCTATTCTGTGGCAGGTAATAGACAGCCAATTTTTACTACTGTTTATAGTACACCAAGGGGTATGTTATCTGAAGATAGAAATTTTTCCGAATTATTAGATAGAAATGAAATTACTGAATCTGCTGTAAGGCCAGCAGTAGATTCATATCCTCCAGAGCCTAGTTATCATGCGCAAACTGTTGTAATGTCTGCAGCAAATGCCAACAAAAGATCTCTTACAAGAGTAAATACAATGGGTCCAAATGATCCCAGTTTTTATCAAAATGGATATAAGTCGTCTGGACATCGTACGGGTTATCCGCCAAGTAATCTAACAGATGCTTTATCTTATTATCCCACATCGACTAGATATGATTCACCGAAACAAACCTCAATAGAAGATCAACTATCTTGGCAAGGAGGGAGTAGATCACCCACGAGTTCAATGGAGACTTCCAGTTTGAAATCACATTCTTTAAATATATCCGAAAGAAAACAATTTCAAAATCAATTGCAACAAGAATACTTCAAACAACAACAATACGACCAACGAAATGGTAATATTATGTATGAAAATCAAGGATATGATAAGCAGATAATTACAGATCATTCCAAAGCCAGAAAGGAGCAATATGTAGATTCGAGTGGTATATTAGTATCAGAATCGGGATATTTATCTATATCTACAAATTTAAAAAGTAAACCTCTAGAAAAACAACCAAAAAAGCCAAAGAGAACATCTTCTCTTAAGTCAGCAATGTCTTCTGTAAGTCATTGGTTACCAGATTTACATCTACCGAAAAAACATAGATCACATTCCTTACCATCGGGAGTTGATACGGTAGAACAGCCTCAACAAGAAAAGTCATTAAAAGAAAGAATATTATCAGCTCAAAGAAGAAAGAAGAAATATCATTTAGTGGCATCAATGTCTGGATTATTACAGAAAGCTAGACGAAAAAACCAAGCTAGTCATCAATCATTATCAGACCCTGAGACATCAGAAACAGAATGGTCTGGAGGTCGATCAAGTGCTCAGTCAGAGGACAGTGATAGTGTATTTTCTGACTCAGCTCATGAAAATAATATGTTTGCTAAAGTAGCCACAAAGTCTAAACAAAGAAAGCTTAACAATCAAGATATTGTTGAACAACAGCAAATGATACAAGAATTACAGCAACATGGACTTGATTATCATGATGATAGTGAATGTATAGTGGAAGAAAATGAAAAAATACCTATTACTAATGTTATACCACGCGACAAAAGTGATGATATAGATTTCCATTTTGCTCGAGTTAGTCAAATGAATAAAAACAATATATCAGAACTAGAAAAGTTAGATATTGATACTGATATATCTAATGTTGATTTGTTTGAAGAAGAAGAAAAAGAAGATAATCAATCACCTGCATCACTTTTTGCTACTGTAGGAGATGTAAAAAAGGCAGCAGGTACTTCAGATGAAGGACTCAGCGAACTTAATAAATCTTACAGTGGAAGTTCGCAAGAGTTTGCAGTTTCTCGGGCACTGGGAAAGTATAGACTACGGAAATCAACATCAATTTCAGACGAACATATGGCTGATAATATTTCACCACCAAAACCGGAAACAGACTCTCAAGAAGAGATAACTGACGAATACATGAATCAAAAAGAAAAAAGAATACGAAAAAAAAGTACACCTGAAATAATAAGTACTACAGTATCAGAAGATACCCCTACTTACCCAGAAAGAAGCCCATCAATCCAAAGTACTCGTGGAATTCCAAACAAATTTCAACCACGTCATCAACAAAGTTTAGAAATTCCAAATAAACACGATGATGATGACAGTAAAAGTACTCATTCCTGGCGTAGTGGGTCTAGAGTATCTTCAAGAAGACAAAGTACTGAAGACAGCATTGATTCTGAAGATGAATGGTACTGCTATGAGTTAAGAAAGTTAGAAGAAATGGAACATCAATCTCAATTGGATATTGATAGACAACAAACATTAGCTGAAGAACCGGAATTTGAAGAAGAACTATTAGAAGAAGAAAATGAGAGTTTAAAAGAGAAAATGTCTTTCGTTTTAAGAGAATTAAAATTAAAAACTGCATCTGTTAAGGTAAAATATGATGAAACTCCAATTAAAGAAACTTGGAAAGATATTACAACCTTTCCAGTTATCGAGGAAAAACGAGATGAAGATGTAATCTCTGATAGAGGATCAGATGATGACAAATCATTCGCTGATTCTGGTTCAGGAGAGACATCTGGGCCAGACAGCCCTGTACAAAGTGGTGACGAGTACGATGACGATTATGATATGCCTCAAATTCACGAAGAACCTGTAGCAGTTCAACGACCGCCGCCACAACAGGATGCTCCAGCTGGAAGCAAGTGGAAGTTATTGAAGGCATTAAAAGATAGAAAAGCTGAAGAAAAGACTTCAGAGACGCCTGCAGCTACAACGCCCTCGACTGATAAGGACAAAGTCAGCGCCGGTGTAAGTTACCTCATGCAAAAATTTCATGAAATTAGAGTTAAGAGTTAAACGTAGGTAAAATTTATATAGACAAATATTCCTGACTTCTTTCATTATAATATGAAAGTTACAACTAAAAGTTAGACTGATAATATACTCAATGCCATTGCAAAAGTTATTTAACCTGCTTTACATTTCCTACTTACATAGGTTACTGATAGAATAGTCGTAGAAGTGTTATTTGTAATCATTGTGTTAGAAGTCCATTACATATTACTAGGTATGTTAAAATATGAATTGAAATTATTGTTTGATAAAGTTGTTGTTGAGTTGTTGTGATATTATATAATATAATACTTCTTAGACATTACAAAAATATTTACTACTTTTATCAGTTAGCCTTTTACATCATATTCAAATACATCTCGTAAATCTATTGCGGTTGTGAACAAGTAGCCATATTTCAGGATATTATTATTTTCTTTCCAACAATCATAAGTAACTTAAATATTAAAAATAGTGTAGGACGCTAAAATAAACAAGCTAATATATTGTAATATTTATACGAATATACTCGTAACTTATTGTCTATTTTAACTGAGGCAATAACTAGATTTAATGAATGCAATAGGCTTTAAGATCTTTCTACAATATTATATGTCATGTATAATGTGGCATTTTTATATAAAGCTTAATATATATAAACAATGAAACAGTAATAACACAAATTTTAAAGTATTTCATATTGCTTAACATTATTTATACTATTGTTAAAATAATACTTACACACTTGATATTAAATTCAGTATTTTGTGTGAGTTAATGATTGTTACTTATACAGAAGTTATTAGTAGCTATCTACCAATCAGGTTTCCATTCCTATAAGATATTAGAGAATGTTGGAAATATTAACGTACAAAAAATCACTCATTGTCATATCATCTCATATCAAGTAAAAATGTTGCCTTTTTATTTAGAACTAGCTCTTTATAGCGACTTGACCATCGCGAATTCGTTCCCGTAAAAGTTACTGTAGGGGAGAAATATAGCCTATATTACTCAGAGATAAGGTAGCTTGCTTTTAATAAAAGAATACTTAGTTTCCATATTTCCGGAGACTGTACGTACATACACTCAATCAATTAAGGTATCATATTTTAATAGTGCTGAAATGCGTATTAATTAGTTTTATACCCAAAGTTACTAGATTAAAACCGAAGGACTTCCATACAAACTTTCACATAATCATTTTACTAAAAATAATCGCAGATCTTTATGAAATCGAAGTGAATTCAAATACTTCTATTGAATTTTATTTTTAAATACTACGAGTATCTAAAAACAAAATTCAATTGATTTTTTATATATTTCATAACAGTAAAAACAAGATCGAGTAAGATAATCATAGTTAAAGAGAAGTTTATAATGAAAGTAAAAAAGTTTATTTAATATTCCACATCAGCTTCCAGAGGAAATAATGTTATTTATTTTGTATAATTTCTAATGTTTGAATAGTTGTGTCCCAGTAGAGATTTGCTTATTATATATAATTATAATGCTGATCGCGTTATTGTAACTAGATACCAAACAGACTAGGATAACGTATAGCTATTTACACTTACATTATAAATGATAGCTGGCACTTTATGTACTAACGTAAATATTTAGTGGAAGGTTTTAGATGTTGAACGGTTATGAATAGTATAATGTATTGAGTGGGCAGATCAGTTTACAGTATTTTTTATCTATATATAATATATAAAATTAAATTCACTAACATCCAACTGTTTTGCTTCTATTAAATAAACAGCTACAAAAATCTGTGCTATGTAACTTGATTTTGAAACATCTTACTAATATTCTGCCCTCAATATAATAATTGTTATATTACACGATATGTTACAAATTGTATTATTAGTTCTCCATAATCGCATATTTAATATAAAATGTGTTATATTTGATTTATTAAATAAGGATTGTTTTGCTTCGATTAAATTTTCATAACAATATGTTGTCAATTCTTGTTGATTCAGAATTCAGTAATGAATCATAATGAATATGTACTATTGCATTAAGATACAACCGAATGTTATGAAACAATAATCGAAGTTAATAATGTAATTGTTGTATAAAATATGAAGTTATTTATTAAAGATTTTATTTTCAGAATAATTATACTTTTTTTATTTTTTTTTATTTCTTTACTTAATTGTTTTTTTTTTGTTTGTTTTTAGAATGGCTCCGGAGGATTTAATGACCAAGGTGGCCGCGGAAATGGGTAAGTGAAATATTTTCATCATAAATCTGTATTTCTGGATTCCGTTTATCTATTATTCCGTTTATATTACATTGGTATAAAATAAATGAAACACTAAGGAACACCTTGGTATATTAAGAGATAATAACGTTCAAAGTTACTCTTATTACAATTACCGCAGATTTTGAGTAAGTAACCTTTCCAAAACCGTAAAATAATAACGGCAAAATTATTTCATAATCCGTTATCGATATTTCAATATTTCACTTCGATATTTAAATTTAATCAATACCAAAGAATTTAATGGTTTAATAATGGACTGATGGTCCATTATTAAACCATTACATTTTTGGATCCTAACCTACAATAATGTGTTTTGCAGCTGCATCTTTACCTTTTCCTTACCTTGCCTAATCTCATTATGAAGGATTTGCGTAGTATATCTTCATCTACTACTGATCAGTCACAACTTCTATATCAACCGTCATATATTTAATTACTGTTTTTTTAATACTTAACGTAACTAGGTATCTTTTCTTGTTGTCTACTCCATATACTATTCATATTCATATTCAATAGCTTCTTCAAAATAGCCGCTGCTTCGTAACATACTGAGCCTGTATGTCCATTCACTTCATCTAAAAAGCTAATAATACTATGTTTAGACACCCCGGAGACAACCCATTCTACAGCAATATCGACAGTATGCCAGATATTCGACCAAGAAGGAAATCCATACCTCTTGTTTCTGAGCTTGTAAGTATATTTCAATTTATAGTAATATAATAGATATCTCTTATTATTACAAATCCGATGGAAGAAAGCTATATTTTTCTTAACCGGTTTCAAGCCACTGTATTTACAATTATTCTTTCACCAAAAAAAGAACCACAGTAAAAATATTTCGTATTTAGGAAGTTATTTATTTCTTTAATAAGAAAAATATTTTTTTATTAAAATATTTAATTCATATTTGAATTTAATTAAGTAATTAAACGCTTTGATAGTACCTATTACAAGTCTAATTTTTGTTTTATATTTAATTTTTGCTTTATTAGTGTAAACAATAAATTCTAACCGAAATATTACGGCTACATATTTTCTGGTGAAGAAAATTATGAAACTCTTTAAGGTTTTCCGGTATTTTGATGGTGATTTGAAACTGGTCGTAAATGTTTACAGCTCGCATCGACGTACGCTTCCTGAGGCTTAGTAATACTAGGCGCGTAATCAATGTTTTCTTCTCTACGAATAATTTTCATCCTCAATGTTTTGAACAATCTACGGAGTTCATAGAAGTAATTATTATAAAATTAATACAATTTCCTCATTATCCATTTATAACAACGTTAAATTTATGTAGATGATTATGATATCTAAGTAGAATGAAGAGTTTAATGTTGCATATATACTTAAATTTTGATACACCTCCGATGATTGTCCAAATTAAATAATAACAACAATAAACTTTCAAAAGGCCTATAAACCCTCCTATCTTCCTTGATGTGTTTATGTTACCTGTAAATTTATGTGTCTCTTTCTAACTCTCACTACCTATATATAGATGGCCTAAACATAGATAATATACCAATCCCAACTAACCTCGATTTTATTAAGGACAAATTAGGAGCCACCAGCAGCTAGGTATAGCGGAACCATAGACACTGAATGAAAATTCCTAATTAAAATTAATAATATCATTGCATTTTACCCCTCACCATGGACCCGCAGGTTCTCAAGGTATTTCTTTCCCAATAACACTATCTTTCTTTGCATGCAGTTCTTATTGGTAGTGAAAAGGGAAATTTAATATCAAGGAGCTAATAATTTCTCTGTTCACTCTTAATGTATTTAGTATGCTTGCATTATTGAATTGAAATATGATATTATTTCAGCCACTGCATGATTCTGCTTTGTTATGAATAATTTACAGATTATACTTATTCAAATATATTGGATGCATTTTGTATAATATAAATAAATGCCACTGCGTGATACATCTATGAATACAGAAAATTATATTGAAATATTCCGTTCAAAATATGCACGTGCTTGCTAATTAAATTTTCATTCGAAGCTTCAATATCACAGTATCGTTTTTATGAATGAAAATTTTAAAAATATGAATGATTACTGATATTTTATAACTCATACAATAAACATTGATTCACTTTAACTTAAATGTACTTTATTATATTTATATACATTTACACATATTTTTTTATTATATCGCACACTTACAAATTCTTGCAATATTTTTTTCATTGCATATTTTATTAATACATTATACATCATACAAATGATTAAAAATATAAAGTCTTTAGAAATAGGAGTAGTATTGAATTTCATCAAAGTTTATAGTACAACATAAAAACAAGCTTAAATATCAGCTTTATAGCATGAGTAGATTTCATTGATACTACTATTACAATTAAAATTTATAGATACATTTTAGAAAAGTTATAGTATCTATTTTCTCGAAGACTAAAGCATATACACATTCAGCTTTTAATTAGAAAGACATCCTCAGTATTAAATACGTAATATACTGGGTTTGTTTCATTTTCAAATATTATTCGTATAACTCATATAAGTTTTGTATGTTTAGACCATGGCTGCCACAAAAAGGAATGCAGGTTTGACATCCGCTGTCCACCGGGCAACATTAAACGATGAAGAATTGGTAAGTTCTTTTAATTTATTTATATCTTAAAAAAATGGTTTGTCAAAAAGTATAGATTGTCTCTAAAAGGTCTATGGAAATTTCATAATCACGGATTTTTCTTCTTAGTTAGTTTTATAATAAATATTTAAAGTTTCAAGCAGGTCTCTTTCATACTAAGCAGGTCTTAATGCTCATTATTATTTATTTACTATTTTCTAAAGGATTAGGTGTCTTACAGAAAATGCACGTGTACAAGAAAACATTGCAAGCCCTAATTTATCCAATTTCTTCGACGACCCCACATAACTTCGTATTGTGGACGGCAACTTCCCCTACCTACTGTTACGAGTGCGAAGGTCTTTTATGGGGTATAGCCAGACAGGGGGTCAGGTGTACAGAATGCGGGGTCAAATGTCATGAGAAATGCAAAGATTTGCTTAACGCCGACTGCCTACAGAGTAAGTATAGTTTGGTGATGTTTTTTGTATCTACTTGTGAATAATGATTGATAATTGATTTCAAAATAATTGAATTGGTGCTTCATGGAAATTCAGTGTTTTGGAAATCAAATATCAATAATAATTTATTTCTTTCAAAGTATCAAATGATGGAATGAAACTAAACTAAAACAGCTTTATTTTATATATAACAGTATAGATATTATATGTGATATCGATCAATGTGATTGTTACAAACTAAAAAAATATATAATTTCAGTAAGTCAACTGCTTTTACCTATAAAATCTATCAAAGTATTACGTTTCGATAACTAATACTAAGGTAAAACTAACTAAAACTAAGGTTCTGTTATTATTTAATACCATTCTATCATTTAATACATCATACTTTGTAACAAAAAGTAACCAGGAATAGGTAAGTTAAAAGCACAACTGTAAATAAAACAAGTTTAAGGTCGTCACTTTACAGGGATCTGAGTATTCTTTTAAAGAAATTGTATGCTGAATTTTTAAAGTGGTTTGCGAAGCACAGTTCCCTTCTTATTAATCTCAAGTAGATTCGAGAAGCACTTGACGGGTCAGTCATCACTTCGTAGACAACATCTTGGGCAGACAGCGTCAGAGTATTAAATCGATATTTAACGCAAAGATAAAACGATAACAATAAGTAATAAATTTCATCATATATATATGTATAGAAAAAATTGGGAATATAAAAATTAAATAATAATTTATATAAAAATGATACATGAACTGATTGCAAACTGTTTGTGCTTTGTTACAGTTCTTAGTGTTTTTTAAGAAGCATTTTTATTTACTGTTTCATTCTAGTATTGTGTAACATATATAAGGAAAACAGGCGATAAATATCATACATATTATGATACTATTGTCTCTTCATTTTGAAACTGATGATAAAGTCTATTGTTATGATGTGAATGTTTGTCTTCCACTCCTGACAAAATATCGCCTTTAATGAAAGTAAAACTGAAAATTATATGAAATTCCTCAGCTGCATTTAGTAAGGAATTTTGATAATATTCAATGAAACAGTGATCATTGCAAGAACTCTGTATTTGTAATTGACTTTACATATAGAATCTGTTTTTAATGCAACATCTTGTTAATCGCATCATAATTTGAAACGTTAAATTTCCCTCTAAAGTGACGTTCTTTTTAATGTTGTAAATTTTATACATACTTTAATAGTCATGGTTATCAACATAGGTGATACGAAAGGTAAACTATTAAAGTCAAAAGTGTCGTCGTAGCGGAATTTATGTCCTACATTAGCTCGATTTATGTGCATGAGTAAATTTTTGCATGTGTCGATTCTACATCATAGGTTGACATTTTTCACGTATTAACACATTCAGGTTCATTGATATTAATATAAATGACACCGATACCGGCATCACGAGGATTCACGTAATTATTTATATTTAATATATGTCTATATGTCTGTATGTATTTTTTTCTTGATGTGATCTTTTTCTTAACTGTGATGTTTATTTTGTTTCTGTTTTCCTTCATATTTATTGACCTCATATAATAATTAGCATGACTTTTGTCCCTTTCAATCAATTTGTCCACTGCTTTATCGGTATGCATGGCTATCGATTTACAATTATACATACGTACATTATATTTTCTAAATTTTATTCTTCCCATAATAATTTACGGTTGTAGAATGACATTGCACGATTCATTCTATATGAGCAGTCACATTTAGAGAATTAACGTGGTAACCTCATCAATTATCAAAATTTAGAAATCGACTGCACGCTATTTTCATTTCGAGTCTACACTTTGAAGGCAAGCTATTGCTATCTTTAATTTAACTTTTAATATCATTTCAAATTGTATCTTTTCGTTATTGTAACAATTTCATTTTATATAATATTATTAATTTTACGATATTGTAGAATTATTCTTTATTTATGTTTTCTCTAAGAATATCTTTACACATTTGTTAATGGTTAATTTTTAATTGTAACTACATGATTTCAGTTGTATCCTTAGAGAAATTTATTATGGTTCGGTTGTGTATATTGTTTCATTTTTATTTAAACTATTATAATTTTTAATATTCAAGTGTATTTCAGTATCAATGTTTTCGAAGTGTAGACTACATAGATAGACTAGATAGGGTATTCGGTATTGTCACCCGTCCATTCCTTTCGGGTTGCCCCGCCCAGCGCCGAAACTTGTTAAAGCCCTTTTTAGACTATATTACTTAAGTTATACTATTCTATAACCTACTTTACATTCTACACTGTCTAACACACCGCTCTTCTAAATGATCGATATAGTCGCTTCAAATACACATGTGTTCAAACAAATCTGACGGAATCTCACATGTTGTGAAAATGTGCCTGTTAGCGATGTGTGCACGCAATCCAATGTCTGTCCACTTCGATATTATATGTGGTCCTTTAGTTTACTTTATATTTCATATTACTTTTTATAGACTTCCACATTTCTGTGTTTTATTTTTACTATCTTTATGTTGTTTATTCTGAATCCCAAAAGAACGTGTCATCGACGTAAATAAATAATTAAATAAGATCATGATAAAGAAATACAAATAAAAATGTTTATACTAACAAACAATACCTACTAACATAACAATATATACAACGGGTATTTAACAATTTGATCCTAACTAGTGATCTGTGGGTTTATAGGAATATATGAATCATTAAATACTTTTTGGGTAGAATTGTATTCAGTTTACTATATAGGCGCCGTGCTCAGGTCCGCTCCGGCTAGCGCCGCTCGAGGTCCTCAACTTGATCAGATCTGACAGCGGTTGAATCGTTACATTCCGAATCGAGGCATTGAAGTGTTTTGAGTTGAATCTAGTCAGGTTGTACCCTGGAGTGGCCGGAGCGGTCGTGGGCGCGGGGCGGGGGGCCGTCCCGGCGCATCCCGCGTTGTACAAGAACTATTTTGGCACCGCCTGAGCAGTGTGTTTCGCAGGGGCTGCTGAGAAGTCATCCAAACATGGAGCCGAAGATAAAGCCAACTCTATTATTACTGCTATGAAGGAAAGGATGAAGCAACGGGAACGGGATAAACCAGAAATCTTTGAACTCATCAGGTAAAAATATTTTCATAATTGATTTTATACATGAAGGGCTTATAAATTTGGAACTCAGGTATCTAATCTCAACTTATTAACAGTAGTTTTAAAAACATTTCTATGCATTTATTCACGCAACTGTAGGTGTAGGTATTACTCGCGCGATTGTGTTCTTTATGCATATTAATTTATTGCTTTTTTTAACACCTGCTCAGCGTTTTGGTGAGTCATATGTCTTTCCTCCAATATTTAAATTAGTATTTTCATTTAATGATATTTGTTAATGAGCTAATGGGAATATTTTATTATATTTAAAAAATATAAAAAATATTATTATTAAAAACAAATAAAGCGAGATTGCTGACACAAGTGTGTATGTGACAGACGCGTGTTCAGCATCGAAGGAGAGGGCCATGGAGCACACATGAGCACCGTGAAGCAATCAGTCCTCGATGGTACATCGAAATGGAGCGCCAAAATCGCCATTACAGGTTCGAAGCCGCGACGCGGCACTAACCGTTCATTCCCAACAGGAGTTCCTGAATCTGCAGCAATGGAGCTACATCGAGCAGCACATAAACACACACAACATTAAATTTAATTCCATGTTTCGTTTCATGTGGCGACCAGGAGGACTTTTAACGTCGACCCAGATACTCACATTGACAGTCTCGAACAAGCCGAGCAAATCACTATAGAAGGAACTTCAAAATGGTCTTGCAAGATCGCCATTACAGGTTTGCGGTGGTCTTTTGCGGCTACGAACCGCACGCTCGCAATTTTGAAACTATTAGACTGAAACTCTTCGCCTGAATTCTTTGCTAATCAATTTTTGAAATCTGCTAATCACACGTCTTTTCATGTAAACACTTTGCTTCTATCAAAACGATAATTTTAAAATATATTCTTTAAGTATTACATTTTTGTCGTTAGCAGATGTCAAGAAACACTCTTTTGCATATCTTACTTCAAAACTAACCCAATTGAATCACGGTCGTTAATGCACCGCCTCTGATCACTTCCATCGACAATTGTAGCATTGTTAAATCATTTACACAAAGGAAATTCCACGAATCTAACACTTCACTGGAAGAATAAATATATTTACAATTTTAAAACGATGCTCACGCACACGAGTTTTTGACCCTTGAACACTAAATAACACAATTTTGAGACACGATTAATTAATAATGATTGCAATCTACATCAAATCAGCAGCACGTCTGCTAATATTAACACAAATTGCATGGGTTTCACAATTTAATAACAAATTACTTGTATTATCTTTAATATATTTTTTTCAGACTTGTGGAGGACTGCATGACGCAAATGATTTAAGTAAATTGCATAGAGATGAATTATCGCATGCAGAATGAAATATCAAAATGTCTTGATATTATAATAACTATGGATGATACAGTTAAAGTTAAAAATACCCGATTCGTGAAAATTCCAATTCCATTAGATCGATACCCGCGCATATCTTTACACTTCTTCTTTGAAACTTTCTTCTTGGTCGAAGTTTGCATTAGATACTCCGATAATGTAGGCGCTATGTTCAACTTGTTTTAGAAATCGATTTTGGGCATAGGTAGTGAAAGTTTGGTAGTTTTGAAGCTAGTGTCTTTTTTGACCCCCAGCCCGTTCTGACCACACTACACCCTGTTCATAGAGATTCAAGATTTTGTAATGACTAAATGCTTTATTAGGTAAGTTTTCTAAAACATAGGTAAGAAGGTAGTAAATAATGCTCTAGATATTATAAGTACACGTTTATTTAGGAAACACCTATAAAGGTAGGTAAATATATGAGACTGCTGAATATTTGAACATGTGAAAGTCTTCGTTATATATGATCATAAAATAATCGTAAAAAGAATATGTTACTCTTGGGAGATTTGCTAGGAATACGTTCAGCAAGATTCATTCAGCCGCACCGTGGGATCGTCTTAGAAATGGTCTCATATGTTATTTTGTACCATACTGATTTATATGTATCCAACATTATTGTAACAGTTATAATAAATTATAAGTCTAAGAAATAAAAAATATAACAAACGTTATAAAAATTGTTTTTGTATGTATTAGAATTCGAATAATCATGTACTGAATTGGCCCTTCGTGGGCAGTTATTTGTGCTCAGGGTTTGATCGCCAAGGACAAGAGTGGAACATCCGACCCATACGTCACTGTTCAAGTAAGCAAAGTAAAGAAAAGAACAAGAACTATGCCGCAAGAGTTGAATCCTGTGTGGAATGAAAAATTTTACTTGTGAGTTTCTTGCAGTAGGTTTATATATCCACACAATAATAAATTTGTTTACACTCTATACATTATTTGGACTATCGAAGAAGTTAAATATTTTTTTTACAAATTAGTTCTAAAATTTGTCATAATTGAAGCACAAATACAAATAATACTTAAAATCTATATTTAAAGTTTTAAATAACTTAAAAGCTTGAACTATGTGGATGTGCTCCGATTGTGTTGGAAGATCATGATTTTACTTTTGTGTTGATTTATATTTCTAGCATACTTTTCCGGTTATAGTTACACAGATAAAAATGGATACGAGTGCAGATTAAATTAAAATAATTACTAATTAGTCGTCAGAATTTGAATTTAGTATTGTCGTGCAACATATTGTTATTTAGCACCAATATTGTTGTTTTTTTTTTATACATAGATACTTTTACAAGATTATATAATAAAGTAAATTGGGTAGGTACATCACTTGTAAAAAAACCCCGATAAATAGATAAGAGGAAGTTGAGCCAAAAAGTTTTTGAATGATTACAATATAATGCGGTTACTTCAAGACTGCGTGTACACTATATATTTTTTTTATTCGAACAGTGAATGCCACAATTCTTCAGACCGCATCAAAGTAAGAGTATGGGACGAAGATAACGACCTGAAATCGAAGCTTCGACAGAAATTAACGAGAGAATCTGACGATTTTTTGGGACAAACCATCATTGAGGTGCGTGTTACGAAGTTTCAATACGTTTTTATTGATTACTAATATTTATATATTAATATTCTTCATACCTTAAAACCTGATTTAAACATAGAAGACTTAATATTTAACACCTAATATAATATTTACAGTATTTTTTATATAAATAAAATGATAAGCAAACCAACAACAACTTATCTAAAGTGGCAACTGTCTCCTATACATGAATATCACTATAACCATCGCATTGAAATATGACGCTCGTTGTATCGCTCATACATTGCTATAATTGAGGATTAAGGTGTCATGTGAAATTACAGAATATGGATATATTCTGTAATTTCACTGCCTTATCTCCATATTATTATAAAAAATAATTTGTTTGACATTGGAGATACGTAAGGAGCACTTACATATACAACTTTACAGACTGTACGACAATTGGATTTTAACTTACCAAGGTAGTTTTATATAGAATTGTTACTCCAGGTTCGAACTTTGTCTGGCGAGATGGACGTGTGGTACAACTTGGAGAAGAGGACGGACAAGTCAGCTGTGTCCGGGGCGATTCGTCTGCACATAAATGTCGAGATCAAGGGTGAAGAGAAGGTGGCACCATACCACGTTCAGGTTAGTAATAATCTTAATAAATTCATTGGTGCACTCGTTAGTGAAGATTATTAGATAAGCATTGTAATGCATGGTATTAAGAACTACTTGGTTGGTATGAATAAAAAAAGACTACTTTTCCCACGCCTAATTATTTGATTTTCTATATTATTAATAAACTAACTACGTATCTCGAATCTAATTAGAATTATTCATTAACAACATATATTGGGTTTACTTCTCTTCCCAATATATAAAATTAGGTCCAATATTATATAGATAAATTGTGTGCATTATCAGAAATAAAACATTTCCTCAAACTTTACGTATAAGAAATGGCGTTTTAGCTAATTCATATGTAAAATAAGCTATATTAAATTATAATATATTAAGATTTTCTATATTTCAGTATGAGAGTTTACGAGCAGTTTGTCAGTCAGGTTAACTCTCTTTATATGGAGATTATAAATATTGCTAGATTAAATAAATGCCGGACAAACACACCGTAATCAATCGAGTCAACCAGAATAAGATAATCAACTACAATTATGCATATAGGTAATTCTTTAAATGTTTACAAATATAATCATATATGTATATCTTCACGACTGTTGTCCGAGATGAGGTAGTCATAGGCAATACCTATTAGCAACGTCATGGTAAAAGTAAAACCTGAATTACACTCAGTATATTTCAACTCAACGTAACAGAAGCGCGTTTACCGGCGTGTGATGTATAAATACTAATGAATAAATATTAGCAGTACAATTTTTTAAACAGATTTAACTTGTTTGACCTATATTAGAGCTCTCGGTAACAATCCTCTCGAGGATTACCTACATGGTTTCCCACATATAAAATTGAAAGCCAATCTGTAATCAAAATAATGGACTTTTAATGAAACCTGATCGTAGGATTAAATATTTTCATAAGCTTTTCCTTTGGTTTGCTCAGGTATAGCGATATGGCAATGTTTTAATTTTTTCAAAAGTTCAACTGGATAAAAATTCTCTGCAAAAACCTACTACGTTTCAGCAATCGTTAATTAACTAAACTAAATACCAAGCTTGCGATATCTGATGTGATAAGTATCAATTAGGTATATCTTCTTTTAACTCATCAGTGGAATTTTGGCTGCTGTAATGTTTTCACTATCGGCTGTACTCACTATTTCATTGCCAGATAGATATGTACAACTTATAGCTCCACCTCCCATGGTTGACTGGCAAAAAATGCTACTAGCTGTTAAGTCTGCCATAGGTAAAGTACCTATGGCACCTCGTGATTTAAAGTTATATAAATAAATAATATAACCATAAAGAAATTACTATTTAGAAGTCTTGCAGGTTTATTAAATGACTACTTCTATTCTGTTCTATTCTAATACATGCCTGAACAGGTCTTAGCAGATTTTATGATACTTTGGCATTACGCCACTCGTTTAACAAAACAATAGAGTTTCTAAAACTATTTGTTTTCTTTCCTCTATTATGTCATCCCATATGGCAATTCAACAGGTTCCCAACTTTGGCACCATGCCTATTGGCTGGAGTCCAGTAAATATCTACGTGATGACTTTGTAATATTGTAATTACTTATCAAGATATATCTAACCAATTGATTACTAGAACAAAATGTTATCCTGTTCAATTATAAAGTGTAGTCGTTTTCTTCTTATTAATTTTTTGCACGCATATTTTTATAAGTACATATAAATATTAAAGTTACTATATGTCATAAAACGGTGCTTTATGTAAACGATCAATTATGCTCTAATTATTATTGTACTGAATTCAATATACTCGTAATATACGTTAACATTTTATTACAAGTTACAAATCATGTAGATTATAACTTTAATGAATAGACGTAATTAAAATTGAGTCAATATTAATATGAAAATATAATTTTGATTCAATATTATATTTTCTCTATTCTATAATAAAATGAAACCATCCATGATTTGATCTGTCAATGAATTTTCTAACTAGAAGACTAAAGGAAAGTAGTTAGCGTGGGTACCTCAGTCTAACCTATTTCAACCGCCAAGCTACTACTTGCTTTATAAATCGTGTTTCAGTTGTAGGGTACAGATTAGGCAAATCAAATTACTGGATAAGAGGCATGACATTAGTTCCGTGGTATAGCAGCGCATAAGTGGTATAGCAAGTATCACTTGATAACATTATATCCGTAGTGCTGTTCATGTATATAGGTAACGGTACTGGTTACCGTCAAGGAAGCTATCAGTTTGTTTACCATTCCAATTACATAAAAAAATAATATTTACTGATTTCTCTGATTATTTTTGCAATTGGATCAAACAACTCGCATGATATAGGCATATAAAAATTTCGAATTGATAGAAAGTAGAACACTTCGAGTTGGGTAGTAGTTGATTCTCTCGGAAATAGGTTAATAAACATAGAAAAGTGTACAAAGTACTTAGTGGTACTTATCGTAGCAGTTTTTTCCTCTCTTTTATTATCATAATAAAACTGTAGTAGTCTTTAAACTCGCACCTGATAAAGTTTTTATAATAGATTTTACAACATTTAATTATAACAACCACTAAAGTTTCAGAATATTTTCTTGTTTGCAATAAACTTACACCTGTACAGAATTAACTTAAAGTAAAAGTTGTACTTGCACTTTCTATGAATAATGCTTTATAAATTAAATATTGGTTAATTTATTAAACAGTATGCACGTTGTACAGTACAACATGACTTCATAAATATGATGATAAGCGAAATAATTAACATAACTTATGTTAGGGTTCACATCTATATTGGAGAAAAATCCGATAATTTAAAAATATTAAAAGAAGGTAGTTTTATAATTACTTGGTATCGTTAAACTAGTTGCGTATAACCCCCACTCATATGTTCTCTGTATAAAAGGAGGTTTTTGTAAACCACGGCATTCGGTCTTTGACCACAGGATGTGCTGGTTGTATTTTAAATGCTAAAGTGAATTGTGTTAGATACATAGTTAAATTAATGCTATATAGTTGTTATTTTATTATAAAATATATATATACATACTTTCACTAGTACATAGAATTGATATTTCTTATACTTATTTCAATAGAAAATATTATACTTACTAAATGAATATTTGCGGGATTAAAATAAAGAAACTGAGTAAACAACGATCGGTTGTAAGTACCTATTTGACCTTCATGATATAAATATAACAAAAAACATTTTTCATTTTATAAGAATATAAGTATGTAGGTACGTACATAATTATGAAGTTTCGCCATTTAAACATTTTTGATCGTGAAACTTCGTGAAGTTTACCGACCACCCCTCGCTAAGAACTCTCTTTTATCCTCTAATTCAAATTAAGGTAATCGTTTATAACGACCGACTCGTGTTCTACAAACAATCGAATCTGTACTTTACCTCCGAAGAGAAACAGATGCGGGTAGCGAGTGGGACAACTTTCTTGAATAAATGCGAAAACTTTTCGTGCCTAGTAAACTATGTTAGGTAATGCAAAAGTATAAATTACTACAATTACTCTACTCTTAATTCGCTTAGCTGGAGCTTAAGTTTATAATGCTCAATATATAGTAGCGTATAGTGTATAAAATAAATTACTATACTACTATACTAGCTGCTAAGAATTTTCATTAAAATTCACTTGGCGTTACGCAAAATATAGATACTAACATTACATATAAAAATCCGTAAACATTAATTGAGTATGTGACAAAGTAAGTGCGCAATAGCCTTATTCGTTTCATGACTTTTATTACTTACTTTTAATTTAATTCATTGCAAAATGAAATAAATTATAAAAATAGAAGTATTATATTACCGTACAATGTTTACTCCTATCTACCTCCTACTTGCGTTTAATTACAAAGCCCATCAACTTCTAATGTTTTTAAGAAAATTGAAAATTGTTTTGATGGTTCCATTACAATGAGGTAAAATATAAAAGAAATAAACAAGGCGACACGCTGTGATATTCTGTTAAAACTGAAGAAAAGACTGTTGATAAAAATGTTTCGCGGATAAATTGTAAGGAATAACAACAGGACCGAGCACCACAGAACTTATCTGAAATACAAATGAGTATTATGTCAAGTACGCCTTTCGAGAATAAGAATAGATTTACAGTCCAAAACTCTTCATTCTGTATATTAGGTACTTCAAGTTTCGTTAGCGTCGAACAGATTTATCCAATTTCATGGTACAAAATTTTAGGTCGCCATTGATTAAAGTTTTATTCTACGCTCTTGTTAATGTAGTGTTTGTGGTGTGCTGAATCCATTTTTCTCGTTTCACAACCTTTAAAAAAAGATATTTACCTTAACTTTTGTTAAGTAGGTAAGTGGACTGCTCGATTTTGCCGAGGTAAAGTTCGAGTTTATACATAAATACAATTGTATATGTAATATATATACATCCTATGCCACTCTAGAATATGTGAATGTGAAACCTTTGAAACAGTGAAGAGTTTTTTACTTTTTTTTATCTTATCCTTGTGAGTATCAATTCAAGAGGCCTTTGATCATCTCAGGATATCGCGTGGCCGTAGATTTATTATTTTTATTTATAACTCTCTGACATTATATTAATATTATATATAGAAAATATGTTATCCTTCGCACTCTATCATGTACTTGTCATTGCTACTATATCCTTCCAGCCCTTTCTTGGTCTGATTATGCCCCCTCAATCGGAGATAGAAAGAATATCATAGTATATGTCAGTTAGAAATAAAAAAAATATCTATTAGTGATATTTTGACGTCCGTTCTTCCATACCTCAGTCAGCTTTGTATTTCAATAGCATCAAAGTAGTTCAAATTTAGAGAATATAGAATATATATAATAGAGATATTAATACGTTTAATTCATGTTAACTTAAAAAAAATATGAGGCATGTCACGCCACGTCTTTATTAATAGCATGTAAATTTATGTATTCAAATAATTTATGATGTCCAAGAAATTTATACAAAATAATGAATGCAAGTGATTCATTTTGCTTGTATTTAGCATAA